GTTTCCTCATCATGTTTTCTCTGTCCAGATGACACACCAAGTACCTTCCTACCTGTCTCTCTAATTACTGTTGCTGTAGTAGCCCAGTCATTTAGAAGCTCTTTTTTATTACCCAGAGCCTTTGGTAACAGCTCCTCTCTGAATTTTTCACATTATTCCTTCCTCAGCTTCCACCTTCAAGGCTCTGATGTTACTATTTTTTCCTCTTCTTCACAACAACAGTCATTCAACACACAACCATCCGATGCTGTCTGGCCATGCTCTCCCCTGCCACAACCTTACAGTCTCCAATCTCCCTCAGATTTCCTCTTCTACACAGAATGTAGTCTATCTGCATACTCCTTCCTCCACTCTTATAGATCACTTTATGTTCCTCCATCTTTTGGAAATAGGTATTGATTATAGCGATTTTCATTCTCTTGGCAAAATTCACCACCATCTGTCCTTCCTGGTTTCTTTCCTTGACACCAAACCTACCCATCAATTCCTCATCTCCTCTGTTTTCTTCACCAACATGTCCATTCAGATCTGCTCCAGTCACCCCTCTCTCCTCCCTGGGATTATTTTCTATCACTTCATCCAGATCTCTCAAAAATGTATCTTTCTTCTCTATATCTCATCCAATTTGTGGAGCATACCACACAGCATTTAACATTAGATTTTCTATTTCTACCTTCAGATACATCATCCACTCATTTCACCTCTACTATACATTATTTGCTAACTCCTCCTTCAGGCCCAACCCTACTCCATTTTTCTTTCTATCCACACCATGGTAAGACAATTTAAACCCTTCTTAAATGCTGCGAGTCCTGCTGCCCTTCCACTTGGTCTCTTGGACACATAAAACATCTACCTTCCTTCTCTGCATCATGTCAGCCAGCTCTCTACCTTTGCCTGTCATTTTCCCCACATTTAGAGTTGCAATCCTCAGTCTTACATTCTTGACTTTCCTCTTCTCCCTCTGTCTCCTGACACGTTTCCCTCCTCGTGACCTTCAACTAACATTAGCACAATTTCCACCGGCACCCTGTTTGTCCGCTTCACCGGTGGCGGTCGTTGTTAACCCAGGCATCAACCAATCCCATATGGTGTCGCTTAAATGAATTTGCATGTTAGTTTGGGCAAAAATGTTATGTCGGATGCCCTTCCTGACACAACCCTCACATTTCACACAAGAGATACACTAGCTTGTGTAACGCTGCTTTACCAACAAACATACCACTAGTCTCTACAAACTCATAAACAAAACTTAGAAGTAGTAAAAGTATTTTTGCTGCAAACTGACAAACTTTAATTTGCACCACTGTTCAGAACTCATTTGTAGTCCTTTTATATGGCACTCTTTTTTTTCTTGCATGATCCCAGCATGAGGCCTTGCTCCTCTTCTCGTTTCCTAACTGCCTAAATGAATCAAAAGGAGGAAAAAAAACTCTCCCTCTCAAGTTTTCCACAAGCAGCTCAGGCTACAGGCTGCAGTCTCTCTGAACCATCATTACAGCCATTAGGCAAGAATAAGCTCTGTATCACAGGAGTCCACCAGCTTCCAGTTTAACCAGCACAATTAGCACATCCGTTGGAGTAGAATAACTCTGTAAAACGAGAATGCTTGGGACAAAAGAGGCAGCAGAGTTGGAAAAAAAATGGGATAAGTGAGAGAAAGGGGGGAGTGGAGGGATAAGGGAGGAAAGGGAGAGATTAAAATTGTTTGAATTGAATCCACGCTCGCCCCATTCATTTGGTATTCTACTTAAATCAGGGCTTTTGTTCAGCTGGCCGTAAAGTAGTGTCAATCATCTCGACCTGGTTTTGTACAATGGGGAAATTTATTATGAATTTGCTCCTGCAAATAATGAGGACTACCCCCTGCCTGCTCTCTCTTCTCTCTCTTCATTCTCCCCCAAGCTACCTCTCCTGACTCCCCTCCCTTTGCCTCCACCCTCCGTATCAATGCTGCAGAATAGGCAATAGAGAGTGAAGTTAGCAATCTCAGGGCCACTCGCACTCTGAACCCACATCAAAGTGACAGAGACGTCCAATCAGATTTGTCTTACAGGCATTACCTGATGAATATGGTGCAGCCGCAGCACAAAAGCGCCTTTGTGTCTCCTCCAAGCAGAGACTATTCACAGCTCGCCACAGCCAGCCAGAGTGGAAGTAAATGGCCAAAAGGGCCCAAGCCCAAAAAAAAGCACCCAAACTTGTGCAGCACAATGGGCCATGCAAATCACTGCCCCGCCACTTCCACCCAGCCACACATCCCCACCTCTTCCATCCTTCCATCCTTCAGGCCTGAGTTGGTTCTTCTTCTACTGGGTCATCTGAAGTTTAAGGCCTATTCACGCTTGTAGAGAGGTGTCAGTTAAAAGTGCTTAGTTGGATGAATTCAGACTACTTTTGTTATTCTCATGAAGGAAAAAAAGATTTCTTCTTTTGCTGAAACAGAAGAAAAACACGAGTCGGAGGACTGACTTTTTTGTCAGAAAGTAAAAGTGACTTGGCAGCCATGCACCAGTTTACAGGCATGTTCCAGCAAACTGGAGTGGCCTTTTGTTTTGACCCTGCATTGGGGTATCCCTAAACTTAAATGCTGTGGACGAAAAAAGACTTGATGATGATATAAATGTGTTTAATTTGAACTGTAACACATTCTAAAAGCTTCAATAAACTCATTAAAAAAACTAAAACTAAATAATTTAGCAAAGTCTTACTGGTGGGTTTATTTAGATTATATACTAATTCAAACAGTTTACTTTCTACTTTATTCACTAAGATAACTTAAAATGTTATCCCTTTTACAATATCAGTGCCTCAAACTATGTCATTAACCGTTAAGGTCAACACTGTCTGTTGGCAAATTACGATCCACTGGATGGAGTTTGTTAATATTACAGAAAGTAATCCTTGGATCTGCAACAGCTGATAAGCATTCGGAGTCAGGCAAATTCATTATGGCTGTCACACCTAATCCACCGTTGTTAACACAAAAAATGGCTATAACTAACCCAAAATTACAGATAGAGGTTAAGGTTTATATGATAGTAGCTGAGAGTCATCCTGGACACGTCCTCTGAGAATTAACACATCTTGTGAAACATGGCTGTGGCAGCCATCTTGAATAGAAACGATCATGATGAGTTCTTCAAGAGATGCTCAGCCTTTAGTTTATTCTGAAAGGGTTTTAAATGTATTCATTTCAAAATGACTGAAACTGACGCAAATGAAAAAAAAAAGTTACATTTTAAATACCATTTAAAACTGTTTAAACATTCATACACAAACAAAATATTGCCGATCAAAACTTCAAGGCGTTTGCTGTTGCACCAATGAACTGTGCATCGTCAGTGAATCTTACATTTTTATTTTGGGACAGAATTTTTAAAGTGACAAATTTGATTAAAATATCATAAATCTTTAAAGTTTGAAAGGTTCGTTGCATCAAAAGGCAGACAGAGGTTTGAAGATGAATGAGTCAGATGCAAGCAGATGTGTTAACGTTTAATCAGAGGTTTATGTTTAACGTAGACAGAAAACACACTCGGCTGATGAAGAGGAGGCTCATTTACACCCAAACCCACTCATTCTTACCTCCCATACAAATCTGCTGAGCCTGACACCACAACCAGCTTCTCACATATTCATCTGAGCTAAACTTTTTAAAAGAAAACTTTTTGAATGAATGAATAACACTGAATTTGCTTCAATATTTGAAATATATTTGCACTTAAAATAAAACTGGAGTAATTCTACAATACATTCCTTTCTAAATGCTACAAGCATAGCACTTTCCCTCATCCTGCTTGATCTAAAGCAGGGGTGGGCAATTATTTTTTCCATGGGGCCACATGAGAAACAACAAATATTGTGGAGGGCTGGCACAAATGACTTTTTCATTCAACCTTTATTTAGACAGGTAAATCCCATTGAGCCTCGAGGAATCATTTACAAGAGAGACCTGATTTCAAGTTAATTCAATACTGCATAATATTAATAGTATTTAATTATTAAAAGAAGTACATAGCACTGTTTTAACAAGCTGGTAAGAGTATTTGTTATGATTAAGCAACGAAAAAGTGAGGTTTCCTTACAAAAAATGTCATTTATTAAATTAAATTTCCCAGTACAATGGTAAACTGTTAACATTTTTACCATTTGTGACATTATATTAATGATAATTTTCAGTCACATTCACCCCAAAACTCGTTTCGAGTTTTATATACTGCTGGAAAAAGTTCTTATCTTTCTAAATATATCACAATATTGTCTTTGTACTCCAAATATTATGAAACTTCATATAACAGTGATCGTCACTGAACTGTGATTTCGAGTCCCGGTTCTTTACGTGCCTACATTT